CAATCTTTCCACCCCACCACCTAAAGGATACTGTGACTATATATAAGATTAAAAAATAAAAGCAGCTTAACAGAAATAAGCCTCTAGAGTTGCCTCAGGCCATTGATTTCTCTAAAGCCAGTGCATCATCCCAACAAACAAGCACATTTAACAAGGCCAAGAAGAAGGGCTCTAGGGTTTCTTGCTCCCCAGTGCTGCTGCTTCCCTTCCCCAGCAGCAGCACTTTGGCATCGCTGTTTTCTCCAGAGTACTTGAAAGGGCTCTCTAGGGAGGCTTGCCAGACTGTCAGCAATTTCCCCTTCCCAGAGCACGATGACTAACACAAATAGAAACTAGGGTAGGGAAAGGATATTAAGCTCTCCTAAGAAGGTTGGTTTTCCAGAGGTGGCAATAAAAACAAATATCCCTTATAGTAAACCAGTAAACATTAAAAAAAAAAAAAAAGTTTCTCTAAGACCTGGACTATTTAAATAGCTTGTTACAGCCCTTACCTTCCGTTCTTGTAAGCTATGCTTCAACTCAATTCAGCATACCTTTGAGTACCTGTTACATGCCAAGGCCTTGTGGTAAGAAGCCCAGTTACAGAAAAAAGTAAGACACAAACTTTACTTTCAAGTAAATTCATGTGTGTTTGTGTTCACGATGTAACATGACAGGTAATAATAACAAACAGGAATATATCTAAGCTGTGATTTGCAATATAAATGGTAAGAAAATGGGGCCGAAAAGTATGGTAAGAGAGAGAAGACATTCAGATAGGGAGAACACCAATCTAATAAGATACTTAAGGAATTGCAAGTAATTTGATAAAACTGAAATATAAAAAACAAAGGGAGGGAATCAATGTGGGGAGAGAGGCGGAAGCCAGATCATGAAGGCCCTTTTATGACAGGAGGTAGTGGGATTTCATCCTGCAGATGAAGATAAGCCAATAGTTTCATAAAGGGTATTATTTTCTGGGTCTTGAAGGCTAAAATTGTGAGCATCTTCCATAACAAGATTAATCCTTATCCATAAGTCAGTTTTAGTCCCAGATTTATCTTTTTTTGGAATAAGCCATAATAAGAACTTCAGAGAAAGAAGAGTTTTTTTGTGTGGTATAAAATAACATTTCTTGACCAGGCACGGTGGCTCATGCCTGTAATCCCAGCACTTTGGGAGGCCAAGGTAGGCGGATCACGAGGTCAGGAGTTCAAGACTAGCCTGGCCAACATGGTGAAATCCCATCTCTACTAAAAATATACAAATTAACTGGGCGTCGTGTTGCACGCCTGTAATCCCGGCTACTTGGGAGGCTGAGTCAAGAGAATTGATTGAACCCAGGAGGCAGAGGTTGCAGTGAGCCAAGGTCACACCACTACACTCCAGCCTGGGTGACTGAGTGAGACTCTGTCTCAAAACAACAACAACAACAAAAAAATTATACAAGTAACGTGAATTCACATTTATTGAAAAAAAAAGTAGAGGACCAGGCACAATGGCTCACACCTGTAATCCCAACACTTTGGGAGGCCAAGACAGGTGGATCGCCTGAGGTCAGGAGTTTGAGACCAGCCTGGCCAACATGGTGAAACCGTGTCTCTACTAAAAATACAAAAAAATTCGCCAGGCATGGTGTCACATGCCTGTAATCCCAGCTACTTGGGAGGTTGAGGCAGGAGAATCACTTGAACGTGGGAGGCAGAGGTTGTAGTGAGCTGAGATAGTGCCACTGCATTACAGCCTATGTCACAAGAGCAAGACTGTCTGAAGGGGAAGAAAAAAAAAGGGCCAGGGGTGCAATGGCTCATGCCTGTAATCCCAACACTTTGGGAGGCCAAGGTAGGATCACGAGGTTAGGGAGTTCGAGACCAGCCTAGCCAATATATTGTCTCAAAAAATTCCATCTCCAAAAAAAAGTACAAAAGGCCAGGTGCAGTGGCTCACGCCTGTAATCCAGCTCTTTGGGAGGCTGAGGCGGGCGAATCACAAGGTCAAGAGATCAAGACCATCCTGGCTGACGTGGTGAAACCCATCTCTACTAAAAAAAAATTAGCTGGGCATGGTGGTGTGTGCCTGTAGTCCCAGCTGCTCGGGAGGCTGAGGCAGGAGAATCGCTTGAAACCAAAAGGTGGAGGTTGCAGTGAGCCAAGATCGTGCCACTGCACTCCAGCCTGGGCAACAAGAGCAAAACTCCATCTCAAAAAAAAAAAAGGTACAAGAATATCTAGAGACAAAATGTGAAGTTCCTCAGCCAATCCCCTGTGTACGTATGTATATTCAAGTGTACAGCGGGATAAATTTATTTATTTATTTATTTATTTATTTATTTATTTATTTTGAGACGGAGGCTTGCTCTGTCGCCCGGGCTGGAGTGCAGTGGCGCAATCTCAGCTCACTGCAGGCTCCGCCTCCCGGGTTCATGCCATTCTCCTGCCTCAGCCTCCCGTGTAGCTGAGACTACAGGCGCCCGCCACCAGGCCCAGCTAATTTTTTTATTTTTTGTAGCTTTAGTAGAGACAGGATTTCACCGTGTTAGCCAGGATGTTCTTGATCTCCTGACCTCGTGATCCACCCGCCTCGGCCTCTCAAAGTGCTGGGATTACAGGCGTGAACCACCGCGCCTGGCCTTTTGTTTTGAAATGGAGTCTTGCTTTGTCTCCCAGCCTGGAGTGCAGTGGCGCGATCTCGGCTCCCTGCAACCTCCGCCTTCCATGTTCAAGTGATTCTCCTGCCTCAGCCTCCCGAGTAGCTGGGACTACAGGCACGCCACCACACCAGGGTAATTTTTGTATTTTTAGTAGAGACGGGGTTTTGCCATGTTGTCCAGGCTGGTCTCGAATTCCTAATCTCAGGTGATCTGCCCACTTTGGCCTCCCAAAGTGCTGGAATTACAGGCTTCAGCCACCATGCCTAGTCTTTTTTTTTTTTTTTGAGACGGAGTCTCGCTCTGTCGCCCAGGCTGGAGTGCAGTGGCCGGATCTCAGCTCACTGCAAGCTCCGCTTCCCGGGTTCACGCCATTCTCCGGCCTCAGCCTCCCGAGTAGCTGGGACTACAGGCGCTGCCACCTCGCCTGGCTATTTTTTGTATTTCTTAGTAGAGACGGGGTTTCACCGTGTTAGCCAGGATGGTCTCGATCTCCTGACCTCGTGATCCGCCCGTCTCGGCCTCCCAAAGTGCTGGGATTACAGGCTTGAGCCACCGCGCCCGGCCTGCCTAGTCTTTTCAGAATACTATGAAATGCTATTTATATTCTGTTCTAATATATACATGATTTTCATCCAATATTTGTGTTTTTGAGACAGGAATCTCACTCTGTTACTCAGGCTGGAGTGCAGTGGCGCCATCTCCGCTCACTGCAACCTCTGCCTCCCAGGTTAGGGATTCTTGTGCCTCAGTCCCCCAAGTAACTGGGACCGCAAGCGCACTACCATGCTCAGCTCATTTTTTGTATTTTTTTTTAGAGATGGTGTTTCGCCATGTTGCTGAGGCTTGTCTCGAACTCCTGAGCTCAAGCAATCTGGCTGCCTCAGCCTCCCAAAGTGCTGGTATTACAGGCATGAGCCACCGCACCTGGCCAGGGCTCTACAGTTCATGTTCACATCATGTGTTATGTAGGGGGAAAAAAGGGAAAAAATTAAGACCCAGAGTGTAACATTTATGCTATCTGTACTAATCTGTGTTTCTGAATTTCCTCATTTAATATTAAACCAAAATGTATCTGAAAAAAATAACTACCTTAACATCTAAAAGAAAAAATTCCTTAGTATCATTAGATGTGTTTTCAATGTTAGATTTCTCAGACTGTTCAAACTTTTTTTATGGTTGATTCCTTCAAATAAGAACTAGCTTTTCCTTTATCTTACTGATGTGATGCCTTACACTTATTCATTTTTTTGTATGTTAAACCGCCCTTGCAGTCTTGGGATAAATCTCATTTGGTCATGGTGTATAATACTTTTAACATGCTGCTGAATTTAACTTGCTAGTATTTTATTGAAGATTTTTACATCTATATTCATAAGGAATATTGGTCTACAGTTTTATGGTGTCTTTGGTATCAGGATAATGCTGGCCTCACAAAATAAATCAAGAAGTGCTTCCTTTTTTGTTTTTTTGGAAGAGTTTGAGAAGCATTTGTGTTAATTCTGGAGAACTCACTTTTATTTATTATTTATTTATTTATTTATTTATTTTGAGACCGAGTCTCACTCTGTTGCCCAGCCTGGAGTGCAGTGGTGTGATCTTGGCTCGCTGCAACCTCTGCCTCCTGGGTTCAAGCAGTTCTTATGCTTCAGCCGCCCAGGTAGTTGGGATTACAGGCATGCCTCAGCCTCCCAGGTAGCTGAGATTACAGGTGCACATCACCACACCTGGCTGATTTTTGTATTTTTAGTAGATACGGAGTTTCACCATGTTGGCAGGCTGGCCTCGAGCTCCCGAACTCAGGTGATCCACCTGTCTCAGCCTCCCAAAGTGCTGGGATTACAGGCTTGAGCCACTGCGCCTGGCCAGAACCTGCTTTTAAATATAGCTTTCATGCCAACTTTCTATGTGACCTTAATCAAATATTTTTCAGGCCTCAGTTCCTTTATCTGTAAAAAGATATGTAATTGAATTAAATGCTCTTGAGTGCCTCTCTATCAGTTTGTTGCCCTACACTAGGGTCTAATTTGATAGAAAGATGTTGGCTTTCATTATAACAACTTGTTATCAAGGATGAATTTCTCCGTGAAATTAATAGAGGTACAGACTGGAAAGCTGAAGGAGCTTTAAGAAGTTATTTGATTTAGTCTTCTGTCTTTACAGCAGCAAATTATCCTCTCTGCCCCATAGGTACAGTAGTTAAGGTCCAGAAGGTTTAAATGATTTACCCAAAGTATATAACTAGTTAAGTGTCAGAACAAAAAAAGCTAGACCTCAGGTCTGTTTACCACAGAGCCCATAGTACACACGTGGCCTTTTCTGAAATTAGCTTAACTAGATAAATGATCTTTCTTCTGTTTTTCTTCCTCTGTAGGTTCTTTGCCCTGACATCCCTTCGTCTTGTGTTTTTACTTGCATTTGGCTTGATGATCATTGTGTGTATTGATCAATGGAAGAACAAAATCTGGCCTGAAATAAAAGGTGAGTTTGGTAGCATTTAGAACAGTCTGAACTGAAGATGGCCTTTCCTATAATTTGTACCTTTAGTATTAGGGGTTTATGAGGAGGTGTATGGAGCTGGGGACTGACTGTCTTTCGAAGTCTGAATCATTTGCTTTAGGAGGCACTTGAAGGACTTGTGCCCCAATTATGGTTCCTTGGAGCTGGGTTCTGCCCTTCCCATTGTTACTAAGCACAGGTAGTCTGTACTCACCACCTGACATATTTTTGCCAACATAATGGCCTGAGGAATAAGTAGTCCTCAAATTAAAAATAATAATTATCATTATTGGACACTGCATCTTTATTGAGGCAGTACTAATTTACCTCTCAGGAATTTCTTTTAAATTGCTCATTTGCAAAACACTAGGATAGCCAATTGTGACTTATAGAAAGTACCATGATGGCCGGGCGCAGTGGCTCACGCCTGTAATCCCTGTACTTTGGGAGGCCCAGGCGGGTGGATCACCTGAGGTCAGGAGTTTGAGCCCAGCCTGGCCAACATGATGAAACCCTGTCTCTAATAAAAATAGAAAAAATTAGCTGAGTGTGGTGGCGCAGACTTGTAATCCTAGCTACTCAGGAAGCTGAGGCAGGAGAATAGCTTGAACCCGGGAGGCGGAGGTTGCAGTGAGCCAAGATCATGCTACTGCACTCAGCCATGGCGACAAGAGCAAAATTCAGTCTCAAAAAAGACAGAGAGAGAGAGTGAGAGAGAGAACCATGACATGTAGTGTTTTTAAAAAGCTAATACATACATAAACATGAAAAATTAAGTGACAGTTATAGACCAGTACGACAGATTTCACAGGGCAGTATGTAATTGGTATACTTGTCATATATTTTGTCCCTAGCTTGAGAGTGGAACAAAGCAAAAGATTTGAACAGATCGAGAAAAAAGTGTTTCTAGAGAGTCCAGTGACTTGATTAGTCTGAGGAACCAGAAGTTGCAAAGCATTTCCTGACATCAGAGAATTGATCATATGGCCAGGATAAAGGTTCATTAAAGGGAGTGCTAGGAAATAAAACTGAAAGTATGTTGGGATTAGGTTTTTTGTTTGTTTTGTTTCTTTTCTTTTTTTTTGAGACGGAGTCTCGCTCTGTTGGCCAGGCTGGGGTGCAGTGGCATGATCTCGGCTCACTGCAACCTCTGCCTCCCAGGTTCAAGCAGTCCTCCTGCCTCAGCCCCACCAGTAGCTGGGATTACAGGCATGTGCCACCTTGCCTGGCTAATTTTTGTATTTTTGGTAGAGACGGGGTTTCACCATGTTGGCCAGGCTGGTCTCGAACTTCTGACCTCAGGTGATCCACCCACCTCGGCCTCCCAAAGTGCTAGGATTACAGGCGCGAGGCACTGCGCCTGGCCCATTCTTTTTTTTTTTTTTTTTTTTTTTTGAGATGGAGTCTCGCTCTGTCGCCCAGGCTGGAGTGGCCGGATCTCAGCTCACTGCAAGCTCCGCCTCCCGGGTTTACGCCATTCTCCTGCCTCAGGCTCCCGAGTAGCTGGGACTACAGGCGCCCGCCACCTCGCCCGGCTAGTTTTTTTTTTTTTTTTTTTTGAGACGAGTCCGCTCTGTCGCCCGGCTGGAGTGCTGGCCGATCTCAGCTCACTGCAAGCTCCGCTCCCGGGTTTACGCCATTCTCTGCCTCAGCCTCCGAGTAGTGGGACTAGGCGCCTGCCACCTCGCCCGGCTAGTTTTTTGTATTTTTTAGTAGAGACGGGGTTTCACCGGGTTAGCCAGGATGGTCTCGATCTCCTGACCTTGTGATCCGCCCGTCTCGGCCTCCCAAAGTGCTGGGATTACAGGCTTAAGCCACCGCGCCCGGCCAATGTAGCCATTCTTTTTTTTTGAGACAGAGTCTTGGTCTGTCACCCAGGCTGGAGTGCAGTGGCACAATCATGGCTCACTGTAGCCTCAACCTCCTGGGCTCAAGCAATTCTCCCACCTTAGCCACCTGAGCAGCTGGGACTATAGGCACTTGCCACCATGTCCAGCTAATTTTTGTATTTTTTCTATAGACGGGGTTTTGCCATGTTGTCCAGGCTGGTCGCAAACTCCTGGACTCAAGTGATTCACTCACCTCAGCCTCCCAAAGTGCTGGATTACAGGTGTGAGCTACCGCACCCAACCGACTTTTTTATTTATCTTTTTTGGTTTATTTATTTATTTATTTTTTATTTTTGAGACAGAGTTTCGCTCTTGTTGCCTGGGCTGGAATGCAATGGCACAGTCTCGGCTCACCACAACCTCCACTTCCTGGGTTCAAGCGATTCTCCTGCCTCAGCCTCCCAAGTAGCTGGGATTATAGGTGTGCACCACCACGCCCAGCTAATTTTGTATTTTTAATAGAGTTGGGGTTTCTCCATGTTGGTCAGGCTGGTCTTGAACTCCCAACCTCAGATGATCCACCCTCCTCGACCTCCCAAAGTACTGGGATTACAGACATGAGCCACCGCGCCCAGCCCTATTCTTATTTTTTAACAAACTAGGTTTCACTGTGTTGTCCAGGTTTTGGAGTGCAGTGGTGTGATCATAGCTCACTGCAGCCTCAAATCCCTGGGCTTAAGTGATCCTCCCACCTCAGTCTCCCAATTAGCTGGGATTACAGGTGCATACCACCACACCCAGCTAAGTAAAAAAAAAAAAAAGTTTTTTTGAGAGAGTCTGGCTTTGTTGCACGGGCTGGAGTGCAGTGGCATGATATTGGCTCGCTGCAACCTCTGCCTCCCAGGTTCAGATGATTCTCCTGCCTCAGTCTCCTGATGACAGGTGTGCACCACTACGCCCAGCTAATTTTTCTGGTATTTTTGGTAGAAATGGGGTTTCGCCATGTTGGCCAGGCTGGTCTCGAACTCTTGACCTCAAGTGATCCACCTGCTTTGGCCTCCCAAAATGCTGGGATTACAGGCATGAGCCACCACGCCTGGCCAATAGTAAAGGTTAATTAGTAGCATTTTTAGGACCACATGGAAGGAGGAAAAGTGGAACAGGATGACCTGTTAGGAGACTGTGGCAGTGTCTTCGTGAGAAGTAGAGAGGCCTCAGTGAATACAAATGATGGATGGTTTGGATCGCTGTGAGGAAGGAAGATACATCAAAACATAAATAGCTGGGGCCAGGTGCAGTGGATCATGCCTGTGATCTGAGCACTTTGGGAGGCCGAGGCAGGAGAATTGCTTGGGCCCAGGAGTTTGAGACTTGCCTGGGCAACATGGCGAAACCTTGTCTCTACAAAAAATTAAAAAATTAGCCAGGCATGGTGGCGTGCACCTGTGGTCCCCAACTACTTGGGAGGCTGAAGTGGGAAGATCCCTTGAGCCCTGGTGGTTGAGGCTGCAGTGAGCCATGATCGCACCGCTGTACTCCAGCCTAGATAATAGGGCGACACCTGTCTCAAAAAATAACAATTATAATATATGTATAATAAAAGACATAAATGGATGGGGGTTAAAGCTAAGAGAGTGGCAGAATGGCATTACAGTTAGCAGATAAAGGCAAAGGCAGACACAAAAGTTGGTTTGAAGGGGTGAGAGAGGAAAACTGATGTAGATTTTATGTTAATTTTGAAGTGTTGGCAAGATATTCAAACCAGAGTATACAGGTTTTAAATACATGCCCATCATATTTTATAGAGACTTCAAGGAATTGTGTAGTTCATCTGCCTATCTAATGGCTGGTGAATATCAAAAGACTTACACATTATTCAGGTAGATAATGGGTTTCCCTCCCTTTTTTTTTTTTTTGGTTAAAGACAGGTTCTCACTATGTTGCCCAGGATGGGCGTGAACTCCTGGGCTCAAGTGATCCTCCTGCCTCAGCCCCCCAAGGAGGCAGAACTATAAGTGAGCATCACTATACCCAGCTCTGGGTCTCTTTTTAAAGAGAACAGGCAGGCTGGGTGTGGTGGCTCACACCTGTAATGCCAGCACTTTTGGGAGGCTGTGGTGGGTGGATCACCTGAAGTCAGGGGTTCAAGACCAGCCTGGCCAACATGGCAAAAACCCATCTCTACTAAAAACACAAAAATTAGCTGGGCATGGTGGTGGGCGCCTGTAATCCCAGCTACTTGGGAGGCTGAGGCAGGAGAATCGCTTGAACCCTGGAAGCGGAGGTTGCAGTGAGCCAGGATCGTGCCACTGTACTCCAGCCTGGGCGACAGAGTGAGACTCTGTCTCAAAAAAATAAAATAAAGAGAACAGGTGTTTTTCAGCTGGGTGCGGTAGCTCATGCCTGTGATCACAGCACTTTGGGAGGTACAGGAGTTCGAGAGCAGCCTGGCCAACATGGTGAAACCCCATCTCTACTGAAAATACAAAAATTAGCCAGGTGTGGTGGCGTGCACCTGTAGTCCCGGTTACTCAGGAGGCTGAGTGAGCTGAGATCACGCCACTGCACTCCAGCCTGGGCTACAGAGCAAGACCCTGTCTCCAAAAAAAAAAAAAAAAACACACGGTGAATCCCCGTCTCTACTAAAAATACAAAAAATTAGCCGGGCGTTGTGGCAGGCACCTGTAGTCCCAGCTACTCAGGAGGCTGAGGCAGGAGAATGGCGTGAACCTGGGAGGTGGAGCTTGCAGTGAGCCGAGATCACGCCACTGCACTCCAGGCTGGGTGACAGACCAAGACTCTGTCTCAAAAAAGATAAAAAAATAACAGGCAGATTTCTAGGGTTGGAGTTGTTACAACGTACCTTGTGTAGCCTGGCACAGATTGATGTGTATGGGCATCCCAGACACACTCAAGGGGTGAGATGGACCATTTTTCTTGTACACCTTGGCTTTCAGCTGAGGTCATTAGAAGGGGGCTTAAATAGTCCATTTGGACCTCCCTTCCTTCCCCTCGAAAAATGAGTAGGCGTAAGTGATTATTCCCTTGTCTGCAGCTCCCTAACTCTGGCAGTATAACACAGTGTCTCCTTTTTTATCAGCTATTACTGTTTTCTTTTCCCCAACCTATTAAAACTTGAGCTGTCAGACCAACAGCCTAACATTGTCATGTTTAGTTTTCCCTACCAACTAATGCTGGTGTTTGTTTTAATATTGTAGTGCCAAGACCCGACGCATTAGACAATGAGAGGTATGGAACACTAATTAAATCCCTTTTTGTTGCTCTGATTCATTCTCTTGTAATATTCTGGTTACATGTTGTTAACCCCATGTTTTGGACACACAGTGTAAGCTGAGAACCTAGGCTGTTCCAAATGATCATTTTAACACATCCTAAACTTCAGGCAGCAATATGTTGAGATGCCTGTGTCCTCTGATCTTTACAAGAGAAGTTTCTGAAAAAGAAGCATTACAGTGCCCCATAACGTGACATGCCAGGGAGTCAGCTGCATTGTTCAGTCCCAGTGAGAAAACTTAAAGGCAGCTAACTTCATTTGTCTCCTGGCTTTTATACCAGGTCATTTAGTGTTTTCTGTGACCTCTGGCTATTTAAAGTTCCCGGTCAGAAAACACATTGGTTCCTGGCATCAGCAAGTCAAAGCCAAAGATTCCTCTTGTGTCTTACAGCTCCTGCTTTCATTTCTCAGTTCATCCACTCCATTTGTTTGATCCAAGGAATTTTCTCTGCTATAGTTTATTTTGGTTTTGCTTTATTTATTTTCTCTCTGAAGGGCACATCCACCATTTCCTCCCCCTTAGCAGCAGTGGTATCAGTCAGACTGTGCTCACTTTTATCCCTGGATTGCAATCACAGGGAATTGGAATGGTCTGAGTGCAAGGAAGAAGATGTTTCTAAGCACAAAGGGCCTTGGAGCTGGGGGCAGGTTTACACACGTGGATTGGGCTGCTTGCTCATAGGGTGGAGTTGTCAGAACAAGTCTGTCCTCCTTGTACCTAAATTCAGGTTTCAACCTGGTGAGCCAAGAAGAAAGCCATGCTTCACCTCCAAAGCACCTGGGCCTAGTCACTCCCCAAACCCCATTTAAACCTGGAAGCACTGGCTGCCTGCACAGCAAGATGGGGGGACCCTCAACACCCTCCTTTCACAGCTCCCCCTTCTCTCTCCCATAGCTGGGGCTTTGTGCACCCTCGGTTGCTCAGCGTGCCCGAGCTCTGCCACCATGTAGCTGAAGTCTGGGTTAGTGGGACCATTTTCATAAGGAATGTTTTGCTTTTCAAAAAGCAAAACCCAGGCAAGGTAAGACTCTTCCCTTTTTCACTTTCATCTCTGGCCTCTCAGTTCAGTTCATGCTAAACTGAAACAGCTCCTTTACTACATGTCTTCATTCAAGAAAGTAAAGACTATGATGTTTATAGAGACAAAAGGAAGCTATAGGAAAGGCCTTCTGATCAGCCATTAGGACTAAGACAGGAGCTTGGTGACTGCTCATTTGGTGTGGTTGCCACTTAGATGAGGCCATTTTCTTGCTTCAGGATGGGAAAGAAAGCTTTCTTGTGTGCATTCTGTGTCATATTAAGTATGTGATACGTTGTTGTGTTTTTTGGGTTTTGTGTGTGTGTTTCTGTTGACTTAAAAAACCACCACCAACGCTGCTTTCAGAGAGAATTTTTGGCTAAGTCCTATTCAAACAATTTCTTGGCATGAAGGGTGCAGCCCTATGGGGTTAGCCATATAAAAAGTTTGAATAGAAGGGGACATGCTCCTTTTCTTCCCAAACAGAATCACCACTGGATGCAACAGTGGCTACACATCCATGCTTGACTTACAGAGTCTTTCAATCATATCTCTACCCTAACCCTCCACACCCACCCCAAACCCCTGCAGTGTGGCAGAAACTTAATACTGTTTCTTGATTCCCCAGTTCTGCTTGCTGAGCTGTGGGATACTGACCTTTTTGGCTGTCTTGGGCCGCTATGTCCCTGGGCTTCTGCTCTCCTACTTCATGCGTAAGTATGGAATATACCTCCCCTATGAACTGTGCCCTGCTCATAGCTTTCCAACTATGGCTAACTCTAGGTCTGAGGAGAGGACATTTATATTTCAGTTCTCTAGGATATGACCTTTGCATTTTTTCATGACCTGTTTAGTGTCGTCATGAAAATATCCTTCTTACCTTTAGCAGGCTCTCCACATACAAAGTTCATTTCTTACCAAGTCAGAAATTGAAGGTAGGTCGGGTGCGGTGGCTTGCGCCTGTAATCTCAGCACTTTGGGAGACCGAGGTGGGCAGATCACGATGTCAGGAGATCGAGACCATCCTGGCTAACACGGTGAAACCCTGTGTCTACTAAAAATACAAAAAAAAAAAAATTAGCTGGCTGTGGTGGTGGGCACCTGTAGTCCCAGCTACTCAGGAGGCTGAGGCAGGAGAATGGCGTGAACCCGGGAGGCAGAGCTTGCAGTGAACCGAGATGACGCCACTGCACTCCAGCCTGGGCGACAGAGTGAGACTCCGTCTCAAAAAAACCAAAAAATTGATGAGGGTTCACTAACATGTATTGTATTAACAATTATAAAGGACTGCCTGTCCCTATTTTAGGAGAGAATTTTTAGAGCCAGGGTATTGTCAGCAGAACATAACTCTTAGGGATTTCTCTACTAGGTTCTATTTATGCCAGAGTACTTTTTTCCCACTTGGAGCATAGTTTTGTAAATTTAGTTACTTCCTGTTGGCATCAGCTTGCTTGGGGCTGGAAGAACTAAGTACTTACACCTGTGACTTTTGTATATCAAAACCTCCCATGATTTGTTGTGTAATTTTTAGGCATTGTTACCATTTATGGCTCAGTGACACCCATTGCCAGGTTCTGCCCTTGGCCTGTCAGCAGCATACTATGCTGTGCATAGCCCCGCACTAGGCTCTGTGGGTAGATATAGAAGTCCCTGCCCTCAAAAACTTCATGCGTAGGGGAGACTGGTGAAGATGACCAGCAGACTTGGGCAGATCTGTTCCACACTTTGTGTCCAAGCCCTGAGGACCAATAGCAGCGCTACAGTTAGAAATGTTTTTTGCAGCCCTTTCTCCATTTTGTCACTGTTTCCCATGCCTCCTCACAGTTGTCAGTGTCATGATGTGGCCCCTTGCTGTGTACCACCGACTGTGGGATCGAGCATATGTGCGGCTGAAGCCAGCTCTGCAGCGGCTGGACTTCAGTGTCCGTGGCTACATGATGTCCAAGCAGAGAGAGAGACAATGTAAGTGTCATGGTGTCATTCTTTCCACTTAGGCAATTTGGGGCAAGAAGAAGCCCATAGGTCTGACATACTGGGTGGGTCCTCAAAAGTGGAAGTTGGGGGTAGGTGGTAGGGGTGAGGATTGGTAGGTAAAAATGATATTCTGCTCTAGGGAAACCTATGCAGGCTTGCCAGTTTTTATCATTTGGAATCCTAGGCTCCTGTTTTAAACCTATCTGATAAAAGCTCTTTCAAGTTGAATAAAAGCTAGACAGTGAAGATAAATTCCTAGTATTTGTGCTTTTTTTTTTTTTTGAGACAGGGTCTCATTCTGTTGTCCAGGGTGGAGTGCAGTGGCATGATCATGGCTCACTGCAGCCTTGACCTCCCAGGCTCAAGTGATCCTTCTACCTCAGCCCCGCCAAACCCTTCAGTAGCTGGGACTCCAGGCATGTATCACCACATCTGGCTGATTTTTATATTTTTTTGTAGAGATGGGTTCTCGTTATGTTGCCCAGGCTGATCCTGAACTCCTGGGCTCAAGTGATCCTCCTGCCTGGGCGTTCCAAAGTGTTGGGATTACAGATGTGAGCCACCACGCTCAGCCCAGAGCAGATCCGTTCAACTCCTAAGCCTGGTCTCTTTTCACTACTGAAAGCTGCCTCCCAAAGGTGATTAAAAACTGCTACCTCAGAGGTTGTAAGTGTACCAGCCTGAGATCCATGCAACACATTAATGATGGTAGTACAGACTTTTCCCTCCCTTGTGTGGTCTTGTCAGGTTTTGTGTTTTATGGAATCCTGGCCTTCAAAGAGCCCTGCACTTGGTCACCAAGGCCCAAGTCCCCTTGGGGCAGCCAGTTGAATAATACCAGTCCTCAGAAGTCTGATTTAACAAGGTGTGCATCTCCTTTTGCCCTCTCTCTGATCGTGTCCACTTAACACCTTGACATTAGGTCTGCCTTTAGCCATCCAAAGAGTTGTTGACAAAGCCTGGTATTTGATCATCTGACCAGAATAGAAATGTGTGCCAGGCCGGGCGTAGTGGTTCACGCTTGTAATCCCAGCACTTTGGGAGGCTGAGGTAGGCGGATCACCTGAGGTCAGGAGTTCAAGACCAGTTTTACCAATATGATGAAACCCTGTCTCTCCTAAAAATGTAAATATTAGTTGGGTGTGGTGGTGAGCACCTGTAATCTCAGCTACCCAGGAGGCTGAGACAGGAGAATCGCTTGAACCCAAGAGGCAGAGGTTGCAGTGAGCTGAGATCGCGCCATTGCACTCTAGCCTGGGCAACAAGAGCAAAACTCCATCTCAAAAAAAAAAAAAAAAAAACTGTGTAGGGCCTGGTGGAGAGGATGTTGGAAGCTGAGATATTTTCTGCTATGTTATCAACTCACCTTGCCATTTAGGTTCAGCAGCTCAGCCTTCTGTTATTATTATATAGGCTTAGAGCCAGATTCAGAGAGGCTCTTTATTTTCTGATTTTATGCCTTTAAAGTCCAAAGGGGTTTTTACGCTGGTGGGAAGGTATCAAGCAAGGCTTTGTGCTCTTCCCGCACAGTACGCCGCAGAGCTCTCCACCCAGAACGAGCCATGGACAACCACAGTGACAGCGAAGAGGAGCTTGCTGCCTTCTGTCCTCAGGTATCTTGAGTGTGGGAGCTGCTTCACTGTCCAGTTTTCTTTAGCTCCCTTTCAACCATCTGACAGCTCACATTTAGGCCATAGCCAGGTTTGAGGCCTTGGACTCCCCTTGTTCCCAAGACCAGTAACAAGGAGAGAAGTGAGACTTTGTTCCTAGATCTCAATTTTTTAAAAAAATCATATCATTCCTCTAATCAACCTAGATCTCAATTACGGCCTGATGCCCAGCACCACTCTTCCATATCTCTTTTTACCCTGTCATTATGGAAGAACCTCTGGAGTTAGTATGATCATCTTTTAAACAGTCCATTTCACCCTTGGGTCTGTGCAGTATGTGTATTCTCCTGCCACTTTGAAAAGTTATCTCTGGATCAGTTATTCGCCTTAAAGTAAGTAGGTAATTGACTCCCCCAGGACTGCTTTTCTTCCTGTGCTTAAGAGGTTATAAATGAGTGTTTTCTTTGGGAGAGCAGCCTAAAAGGGGTCAAGATTTTGAAGTTACCATCTATCCCTGGTTACATTGATGGCCTTCAGATAACTAATGCTAGCTGATTAGTAAAGCTGTACCTGGGGACTACACCTGGTTCCTGATGGCATTATCTCAGGTTTGTTGGTCTTTTCTTTTCCTAAGCTGGACGATTCTACTGTTGCCAGGGAATTGGCCATCACAGACTCTGAGCACTCAGATGCTGAAGTCTCCTGTACAGACAATGGCACATTCAATCTTTCAAGGGGCCAAACGCCTCTAACGGAAGGTTCTGAAGGTGAGGGGAGCCTTTGACCTCAGTTGATAATGGCTCTGACTGTTGCCTCTTAGCTTCCCTGAACAGAGGGGATACTGGTGCCTGCTCCTCTCCTGTTTTCTGAGCTATGGATCAGGTGGCAGAGCAGCCTGAGGGCTGTGGCTACAGCCAGGATGGCACTGCTGCCCTTCTCGAAGCCTTTAGTCCCTTAGTAGCCTCAGGCACTAGCCTCACAGGGGGCGTAGAAGAAGAGAGGGGGAATTGTGTGGCCCGTAGAGATCACAGACATCTATAAGTGGAGGGGAAAGTTACACCAGTCCCATGGGTTTATTTCACCCTGAGAAAGCCAGGGTGGGAAAAATCTGGTCATGTGGGGATGTGGCACAGGAGGGCCAGGTAGGTGCCATGACTCAACACACTTCTGTATTCTACCAGACCTAGATGGTCACAGTGATCCAGAGGAATCCTTTGCGAGAGACCTTCCAGACTTCCCTTCCATTAATGTGGATCCTGCTGGCCTGGATGATGAGGACGACACTAGCATTGGCATGCCCAGCTTGATGTACCGTTCCCCGCCAGGGGCTGAGGAGCCCCAGGCCCCACCTGCCAGCCGGGACGAGGCTGCGCTGCCAGAGCTCCTGCTTGGTGCTCTGCCTGTAGGATCCAACCTCACCAGCAACCTTGCCAGCCTGGTCTCCCAGAGTATGATTCAGCTGGCCTTGTCAGGGGCCTCCCAACCAGGCCCTTCTGGCGCACCTGCCCAGAGAGCAACAAGAGGCTTCCTCCGGTCCCCCAGTTCAGACCTGGACACTGATGCTGAGGGGGATGACTTTGAACTTCTGGACCAGTCGGAGCTGAATCAGCTGGACCCTGCCAGTTCTAGGAGCCACTGAGGCAGAGACTCCTTTTGGGAGTCACTGTGGTTTAGCTTTTTTTTCTCCCCATCCCACTTAAGGTGATGGGGCAAGAGAAGAACTCAGCTCCCCTCCCCTGAATTATATTTGTATGCTGCGTGGCCTGGCTGATGTTCAGAGGCCTGCTTAGAGAGGACACTCACTCCCCTCCCACCAGCTGGATGCCCATTTCTGAGCTCAGCCACTGAAGTGAGAGTGTGCTCCCCCAAGGGAGGCTTCTCTCCATCAGGATGGTACTTTGGGGGGAACAAAGTAGTCAGGGATATTGGTTCCCCTTTGAGGAGGTGCTGTTGTTTGCTTTTAGGTATGAGTGCTCAGGGGCCCTCATGGAAAGAGCCCATGCCTGCCTTCCTCCCTTCATCGCCTCCCTAGAGCCCCGAAAGTCAGGCAGCAGCTGGAGTAGTTACATTGTCATCATCTTTTTTTGGAGACAGTTTTGCTCTGTTGCCCAGGCTGCAGTGCAGTGGTGTGATCTTGGCTTACTGCGACCTCTGGCTCCCAGGTTCAAGAGGTTCTCTTGCCTCAGCCTCCTGAGTAGTGGGATTACAGGTGCCCACCACTATGCCCGGCTAATTTTTTTTGATAGTAGAAATAGGGTTTCACCATGTTGGCCAGGGTGGTCTCCAACTCCTGACCTCAAGTGATCCACCTGCCTTGGCCTCCCAAAGTGCTGGGATTAGTCATCTTCTCTTGTTAAACCAGGATTTGATTTCTTTCTTTTTTTTTTTTTTCTTTTTTGAGACAGAGTCTGGCTCTGTCGCCCAGGCTGGAGTGCAGTGGCATGATCTCGGCTCACTGTAACCTCCGCCTCCCGGGTCAAGCGATTCTCCTGCCTCAGCCTCCTCAATAGCTGAGATTACAGGCATGTACCACCATGCCCGGCTAATTTTTTTTTTGTTTTTAGTAGAGACAGGGTTTCACCATGTTGGCCAGGCTGGTCTAGAACTCCTGACCGCAAATGATCAGCCCACCTTAGCTACCCAAAGTGTTGGGATTATAGGTGTGAGCCACTGTGTCCAGCGTGATTTTTTTTTTTTTTTAAAGTAAACTTGTCCTTTGGTTTTGCAGAACAGGCCTGCTTCCTCTCTAGCCCATCCTCATTTCTTGGGGCCTGAACCCCAGTGCTCCAAAGCATTGCTTGTGAAATTTAAGAAATGTGAATATGATGTGGGGATGGGCCTCTTCTACATTACCTTGGCCCAGGGGGATCAGCTGGCTGGGAGGATTAGTGAGCACCTCTGTATTTTGAGGTCTCACTGAGTCTTCTGGAGCTGTGTGGTTAATCTTTGGTTTCTGATAACCCCTGGGTCCATTTGGCCATCAGCCTCAGCAGTGAGCAAAGCAATACTGTACTCAAAATTTCTATGTTCCTGTTCCTTCCTCTGCTCCTCCTTTGGAGAAGCAATAATTCCATGGGGGGATGATACAGTAGCACTTTACAAATGGCTCCATGTCATTCATCCCAGGGGCCACACATAATCTCTTGCACCACCTATTCTTCCTGTTCAGCTCCTTTACAGCTTTTATTCCTAACTTGGTGGGGCCTCCTTTAAGGATGAGCCAATGGTAAGAATGTGGCTGTAGTCAGCAGAGACCCCTCTGAGGGGTATCTGTTCTGCATCCCCTAGTGAAATCATGTGAGACAGAAACCTAAACATGGTAATTGATTCTAAACCTGTGCCAGTCTATAGCCTCTGCCTCCCCAATCAGAGCTCAAGCCAAACTCTCCTGTCCTCTTTCCTTCTGCATTAACCCTTTGCTGATCCTCAGGGGCCACTCCCCCAACACCCCTGTACTTGGGTGAGGGATGTTGGACAGAGCCTGTTTTCATGTACTGCAGGTGGGGGTGTGCTGACATGTTTGCTCTTGGTTGATGGAGAAGGTACAGAGGCCAGGGAGTGAAAATGGTTGACAGTAAGAAGGGGGAAGAGTTAGGTGTCTCATAGTCACTCACAGTGGGGTGGTCAGGGGTAATGGCATCTCCCCACTTTAGGGTTCTCAAACAGACTTTGGACACTTCTCAAGTTCAGATGTTTTACAGGTGAGCTCTGATGTGGAAAGACAGGAGGTATGGGGAAGGAGGGGGATTTCGTGTGTTTGCATGAGTGTGTGTTTCAGGCCTTGGGAGTTGGCAAGAGGGAGGGAAGGAAGGAGAGTAAAATCTTCGGAAGGTGTTTCTTGTATCTGGGGGAATCCTACTCTGAATCTCCATAGTCTCCACTGTGAACTGAGGAGGGGAGGGGTGTGCTGGGGAATAAATCTTGTATGAGAACAATCTTTAAGAGACTGATGCTGAGTGGTGTCCTACCCTTGATAGGTCTTCTTTTGTAAATAGGAGTTCTGATTAATTTGAAGTGATAGCCTTAAAAGAGGAAGCCCAGGTATGAGGGACCCACCAGCCCACCCCTATTTTTCCTTTGTGATGGCCAGAACATCACCATTGTATGAGGCTACTTTCCTTCCTGTGAGAGCCCCACCATCAGCATAACTGGCACTCTTGGCTAGTATTTAGCCTGTATTTCCTTCATTTCTAATTTTTTTTTTTTTTTTTTTTTTTTTTTTTTTTTTTTTTTTTTTTTGAGACGGAGTCTCCGTCTGTCGCCCAGGCTGGAGTGCAGTGGCGATCTCCTCTCACTGCAAGCTCCACCTCCTGAGTTCACGCCATTCTCCTGCCTCAGCCTCCCAAGTAGCTGGGACTACAGGCGCCTGCCACCACACCCGGCTAATTTTTTGTATTTTTAGTAGAGACGGGGTTTCACCATGTTAGCCAGGATGGTCTCGATCTCCTGACCTCGTGATGGGCCCAACTTGGCCTCCCAAAGTGATGGGATTACAGGTGTGAGCCACCGCGCTCGGCGCCTTCATTTCTAATTCTTAATATTGTCTCCTAAACGTGCAGAGACAAGCACACGTTTTAAAGGCTAAGGAGGCTGTAGGTAGCAGAAGGCTTTAAAAAGTAGCACCTTGCTCCTCCACTGGATCGTTTGAGCTGAAGGGACAGCTGCTCTTTGGCTTTCAGCTGACCTCAGAAACTAGAAATATTTATTTCAGGCTCTGTCCCATTGGCCACTGTGGTCAGGGGTGGAAAGCACCTGCCAGGTGTTGCCCTGAGATTGACTGGGCTAACAAACTTTTCCACAAGCTTTGTGGTTGAACAGTAGCCCCCTCCTAACCCTATCTTTCCTTGGCGTCCAAACTACAGCAGGTGTCGAGTGCCCCCTGGGTGCGAAGCTCGGTATTAGGCAAATAAGGGTGGTTGCTCTCCAAGGCGCTTAGTTGTCACCTTCCTACTTTTTTGTTCGAGACTGCGTCTCGCTCTGTCGCCAGGCTGCAGTGGCGTGCTCATGGTGGCTCACAGCAGCCTCGATCTCCGGGGCTCTGGTGACCGTCCCACCTCAGCCTCCAGAGTAGCAGGGACCACAGGAGCGCGCCACCACGCCTAACTTTTTGTACTTTATTTGCAGAGATGGGGTTTCACGTTGCCTAGGCTGGTCTCGAATTCGTGTGCTCAAACGATCCGCCCGCCTCAGTCTCCCAAAGTGATAGGATTACAGGCGTGACATGCCACAGTGCCCGACCAAGGCGCTTAGCTTTCACAACCACTTGTGTTGTTTTCACAACCACTTTCCTATCACTATCTACTGTTCCTATTTTACAAATGACAAAACTAACCGACAAAAGAGCGCTGGACCGTGGGATCAGGGCACGTCCCTGTGGGGTAACCTTGAGCTGGTCGCTTGCCCAGCGCGGCAGCTGATGTCTGAAGTGTCTTCCAGTCCCAACACTCGACCTAACTCAAGGTCACCAGTGCTCAGCTGCGGCTGGAACTGGATCTCGAAAATTAAAGGCCTTCTCTGCTACAGCCTTCGTTCCCGGGGGCAGAAAGAGGAAGCTGCTCAGCTGTGGGCACGCCGGCGCCTTCGCAGAGGCCCTGGGCTCGAGGTCCGGCCCGGATGCGCAAGTTCCGGCCTGAAATGAACTATGGGGTCCGGGAGGGGTCGCCTTGTTCCTCCGGAAGGCTTCCCCTTCAGCCAATCACCGTTCGAGGTCCGCCCCCCGTCCCCGGAAGGAGCCGTCGCCCCGAGCAACTACAACGTCCGGCTTTCTGAGTTGGGTGGCGGGAAAGGCGATGAGTAAATGCCGGGCAGAAGCTGCGGCGGGAGGTAACGGCGGCTTGGGCGCGGGGAAGACCCGGGAGGGCAGTGGGTGAGGAGGTCGGTTGAGTGGTCCCCTCCCCTTTTTCTCCGTAGCCGCCGGGATCCTCCTGAGGTACCTGCAGGAGCAGAACCGGCCCTACAGCGCCCAGGATGTGTTCGGGAACCTGCAGCGGGAACACGGACTGGGCAAGGCGGTGAGGACCCTCTCCCGGGATTCCCTCTCCGTCGGACTCCCTGGAATCAGACTGGGGTCGTGCCCTTTGGAGCCTTGGGCGTTTTCCACATCACTGGCAGAATTTCCCCAGAACCAGGCCCAGACTCCTCTGATTGCCCCTCCTCTCTCCTCTGCCAGGTGGTGGTGAAGACGCTGGAGCAGCTGGCACAACAAGGCAAGATCAAAGAGAAGATGTACGGCAAGCAGAAAATCTATTTTGCGGATCAGGTGAGGAGAACCTGCGCCAATTGTCACCTATGAGAGCCCGACAACGGGTGAAACTACTGCTAGTGTGAACTCTTTTGGGGAGAGGCCCCCCACGGAAAACTCGCCTGTCTTAGGCCACCATCCTTAAATCAAGGTGTGCACTCCTCTTGTTAGGATCCCAACTTCACGAGGTTTCCAAATTTACAATATGATGGATGATAGTAGATCCTGTATTGTTGCTACCAAGATCCATATCTGCTTCAAAGCTCTTATTTCTTATCATCCAGATTGGCAACACCCTCTGACAAATGATGTTCGTCCTGCCTCCATCCGCTTCTCTAAACACACATATCAAATTTATATTCTCCAGCCCAGACCTCCAGCTGGAATCTGTCAGGCATTAATATCAGAGTCAAAATTGCCACAGTAGAATGCCTCATCTTCCCCCCACCCCGCACTGGTTTCTTTCTAACATTCTTCTCCCTAATGGAATTACTCTTCACGCAAACCAGAAACTTGGGAGCAATTCTTGACTTCCATTACTAGTCAACCGTCAAGTCCGGCTGATTTTTCCGTTGTCTGTTTTTTTATTTTTTATTTTATTTTTATAGAGATGGGTCTTGCTATGCTGCCCAGGTTGATTTGAACTCTTGGGCCCAAGTGATCCTCCTGTCTTGGCTTCCCAAAGTGCTGGGATGACAGGCGTGAGCCACAGAGCCTGGCTGATTTTTCCATTCTTGAATCCACTCTCCTTTCCATCTGCCATGGCTGCTCTAGTTCACGCCCTCTTCATCTGTTGCAACATCCTCCTAACAGATCTTGGCTTTTCAAACATATCTTAAACATAGCAGTCAGAATGATCTGTCTAAATAGATCTGGTCATGCACCTTCCCTATTTGAAACTCTTCAGTGGCTCTCTAGTGCTGCAAAAAACATGTAAAAGGCACCGGAAGACACCCCAGCCAGCCTCTGGCCTCACCAATCCTCATCCTTTTTCTATCCACGAACACTAGATAATTCTGATGTGTTTTACTGCTCTGTCCTTCGCATGTTGTCTTCCCTGTACCTGCTTCTCTTGCTGGCCAACTCTTACTTTCCTTTAGGATTTCACTTAGACATCACCTTCTCCAGAAATCTTCCTTGAATGCCCTGAGCTAATTGATTCCTTTTCAGGCCCTTACCTCTTTTTGTTGTTGTTGTTTTTTGTTGTTGTCATTGTTGAGACAGAGTCTCGCTCTGTCGCCCAGGCTGGAGTGCAGTGGCGCTATCTCGGCTCACTGCAAGCTCCACCTCCGGGTTCACGCCATTCTCCTGCCTCAGCCTTCTGAGTAGCTGGGACTACAGGCACCTGCCACCACACCTAATTTTTGTTTTTTGTTTTGTTTTGTTTCTGTATTTTTAGTAGAGATGGGGTTTCACCGTGTTAGCCAGGATGGTCTCCATCTCCTGACCTTGTGATCCACCTGCCTCAGCCTCTCTAAAAGTGCTGGGATTACAGGCGTGAGCCACCGCACCCGGCCCTGGCCCTTATCTGTTTTAAGGCATGCTGTATTACAATTATTTTTACTTGTCTCCTTTATTCAACTGAAGTTCCTCTAGGGCAGATCTCATTTCTCAATTCATTTTTATCTGATCAGCACCTCCGCAGTATCTAACATCTAGCAGATACTATTCGTTAAACTGAACCAAACCACTTTCAAGGCCAACTTTCCTAAAACAGGCTGTGTTGTGTTACTCATCTAAAGAAAATTCTCTAAAGGAGGGTTTGGCAAACGTTTTCTGTAAATGGCCAGACAGTATTTTTAGGATTTGTGGGCCATATGTATCTCTTGTCATGGCTGGCTGTACAATTGCCACAACTATTCACCTCTGCCACTGTAGAGCCGAAGCGGCTGTAGACTATATAAATGAATGGGTAGGGCTGTTTCAATAAAACTTTGTTTTCAAAAACATGCATCTGGCAGGATTTGGCTTGCTGGCCGTAGTTTGCTGGCCTCTGCCCTATAGGTTCACCTTGCCCAAGTGTAGAGTCCAGACCGCACTGGTTGGCATACTTTTTCAACCTGCTCCCCATCACCAACTGATGTGACCTCCCCCACCCCCACACTGATCCCCAATGCAGTTATTTTCTAGCAGTGGCCCCTCATGAGAGGAGCTCCTCAGACTTACTGGAATCCGTTATCTACATGGATCCCAAGGCCTAGCACAGTGGCTCATGCATGTAATCCCAGCACTTTGGGAGGCCGAGGCGGATGGATCACTTGAGCCCAGGAGTTTGAGACCAGCCTGGGCAACATGGTGAAACCCCTTCTCTACTAAAAATATAAAACTTAGCTGCGCTTGGTAGTACACGCCTATAATCCCAGCTACTCAGGAGGCTGAGGCATGAGAATCGCTTGAAGCCGGGATGCGGAGGTTGCTGTCAGCCAAGATTGCACCGCTGCACTCTGACCTGGGCGACAGTGAGAGAAAGGAAGGAAAAGAGGGAAGGAGGAAGAGAGAGAGAGGGAGAGACAGAGAGAGGAGAAAGGAAGGAAGGAAGAAGGGAGGGAGGAGAAAAGGAAGGAGGGAGAGAGAGAAAGGAAGATGGAAAGAAGAATGGGAAGGCAGGACAGGAAAGAAGGAGAAAAGAAGTCCATCCATCCCATCCATCATGCTTCTTCACCTGTCCAGTTTCTGTCTATTATGGAAACCCATGATCTAGGTTTCCCCACCTTGGGAACAATGTTACTTAGCTGCTTCAGCCCAGGTAGTGGTTTTATCACCGAATGGGAAGATTTCTGTCCTAATCAGTATCGTGTCAACCTGGTAGCTGCTTAAGGACAGGCATTAGATTTCAGGTTTTCTTTCCTACCTTTTTAGTGGGGTCGCTCCTTAACTGAAAACGATTTCTCAAAAGTACTCTCCCACTATTTCTGCAGACCCTCTGGAGAGTTTGGGGTGTGGCTGGTTCCTGAGCATATCTAAATGGTGCCTTCCCAGGTGTGTGTTCTCATCTTTGTGCCTCACAACAGTTTGCTTGTATTTTCCCTCTTTGTCTGGTAGGACCAGTTTGACATGGTGAGTGATGCTGACCTTCAAGGCCTAGATGGCAAAATCGTGGCCCTCACTGCCAAGGTGCAGAGCTTGCAGCAGAGCTGCCGCTACATGGAGGCTGGTAGGACTGGGTAGCTCCTCAAAAGTGCCCATAGGCTTAGGTTCATTCTAGAGGTCGGGAATTACTAAATGAATGGTTCAATGACTGCAGCATCTTGTTGCAGCTAAGACCCCTTTGCTGGGCTCCCTTAGGCATAAAACGAAATGTAGGATAACTAATGGCTTTTGTGTACCAACAAATGGACAAGATATGCATTTGCTCTCCCTGCCACAATTATCAGTACACTGTCCTCACATTTCCCTTTATTCTTGCTTCTTTAACTGGCTACGCCTAAGTGTTCAACCTCACACCCATGCTACTTGTAGATGGAGGAGGAAAGAAAATTAGAAGAATAAACTAATAATCCTGTAAGGCTTAGTTTCCTGAGCTTTTCCATATGAGATGATAGATCCAGAGCAAGGTTGAACACCTCAGGGAGCACCCACTGGGAAAGACAGAACTCCTTCCTCAGGGGTAGCAAGTGACCCCAGGGGGTGTGGTTTCAGAGCTCAAGGAATTATCTAGTGCCCTGACCACACCAGAGATGCAGAAAGAAATCCAGGAGTTAAAGAAGGAATGTGCTGGCTACAGCGAGAGACTGAAGAACATTAAAGCAGCTACCAATCATGTGACTCCAGAAGAGAAAGAGCAGGTGAGCTGGAGGCTGGAGGACCGCTGTGCAGGTCCAGAGTGAATATAAAGGCTGAGCCCAGAGGGCTGCTGTGGTTCTGAGGAGTTAGAGGAACTTGCTTTCCTTCTAGGTATACAGAGAGAGGCAGAAGTACTGTAAGGAGTGGAGGAAGAGGAAGAGGATGGTAAGTGTGTGGGAGCTCTGAGACAGGCCCTAGAAGTGCTTTTGAAAATGGCAGGCACCAGATCAACTGCCACCCAGTATCATAAACTGACAGGTAGTGCCCAGTGCTGCCCATCTGAAAACGGGTGGTTTTATTTCTTGTCAGGCTACAGAGCTGTCTGATGCAATACTTGAAGGATACCCCAAGAGCAAGAAGCAGTTCTTTGTAAGTGGTACTCTCTTCCTTCTTTGCTTCCCTGTGGTCTTATCCTGGTGACATCTCATTCACTTCTCTCCCTGCCCACAGGAGGAAGTTGGGATAGAGACGGATGAAGATTACAATGTCACACTCCCAGACCCCTGAGGGGCCCGCAGTCGGGAGTGATGGGGACTGCAGGATGTCAGAAGAGTGAGATGTCCTGGACTGGCTACCTTGTTTTTGGTTGGCTTTTGTTGTTGTTCCTGCTGCTTTTCACCTTTAAGCAAAGCAGTCAGGAGACGGGCATAAACCAGAGCACTGGGTGGAGGATGAGGGCTGCTGGCTGGGGTAGACCCAGCCCATTTCATTGTCTAAATTGCAGTAGCTTGAGGTTAACATTTAGACTTGGAACAATGCTAAAGGAAAGCATTTGGCAACATTTATTGTAATTTAATTTGATATAAAAATATTTAATTTCCTCTGGATAGTCAAACCTGCCAGATACCAAACCTGAGGAAGGCAGACGTGAACCTGGAGAACTAAGGCAGAGAGAGGTTGCTATAAAATGAGCATTTGGAGGGCCCACAGCTTCACTCAGGACCTACTGGGCTTGTGTACCCCAGGAGACCTTTCGAGTATCTTTTGTACTCTTTCACCCCACCCCCAAGTCCTAGGAGAAACGCAGGCAACACTGAGACATGGGAGAGGCCAAGATATGCTAGACAGAAAGGCTGGGGGTGATTTTGAGGCCCACTTAATATTTCAACATTGTAACCGTAGCAAAATTCCATTGGTATTTAGGAAAATAAAAAATTTCCAGTATGTACTGCTGTATTACACCTGCCTCTGCAGCATCACAGCCCGTGGGAACCAGGAGGGCTTCCCTTACCACCCAGAGCAGAGGAGGAAGGTGATGGATTATGAAGCGAGGGGAGGAACCTGGTGGCTCCTCCCTAAGATGGCCAGAAAGCCCTTGGCCTCACCTGGGACTGACCAGGCAGCCCTAGTCTAGGCACAAGGTGCCCTTTCACCCTTCGTGGCGGTGGGAATATTTCCTCTTACTCTTTTTCTCCCATACAGCTACTGCCAAAATGCCCAAATGTGGGCCAAATGTTGCCCAAGAGACCAAAACAGAGAAAAAAGTTTCCAAATCTGTGTAGATTATGAGTAGAAATCTGAGGCTTGAAGAAAGGGCTGAGAGGGCAGGAGCTCTTTGGGGTGTCCAGAGCAGACACCCATCCCAAGGACTTCCATGGAGTGGGGGATAGGCTGGTTAGGTCTAGTTTTATCGTCAATATAATAAATTAATCAGAAGCTTTCACAAAACACCGCAGCTCCACTGAAGATAAAATGGGGCTGGGAAAACCAAACACCAAGTAGAAACCAGCTGAGCAGTGTGAGGTGTTGTAGTCCAATCTCACGGGCCCAGCAGTTCAGTGGCCAAGTAGAGATTCAAGGGCCTCTTGTTGGCTGTTCTGCAGGTTTCCAAGAACTGGTCAGTAAAGCTGGTTTTTCAATTGGTGCAGGACGCCAATCACAATCTCCCGCAGGGTCTGGCGAGGGCAGCAGAGGAAGAAATAGACAATGCCCAGGTCAGTGCAGAGTAGTTTCAAAGATGCCCGCCTAGATGAGCCACATATTTTAGAAAAGTGCATTAAAAATAGCCCCTGGGGGCCAGGTGTGGTGGCTAATGCCTATAATCCCAGCACTTTGGGAGGCCAAGGCGGGTGGATTACCTGAGGTTCAAGACCAGCCTGGCCAACACAGTGAAACCCCGTGTCTACTAAAAATACAAAAATTAGGTATGGTGGCGCATGCCTGTAATTCCAGCTATTCAAGAGGCTGAGGTACGAGAATTGCCTGAACCCAGGAGGTGGAGGTTGCAGTGATCTGAGATCATACCACTGCACTCCAGCCTCGGTGACAGAGTGAGACTCTGTCTCAAAAAAAAAAAAAAGGCCCCCAGGAAGTACTGATGTCTGTCTGCAGTTTACTTGAGGTGCTCCTGAAGCAGGATGGAGACATGGAAATACAGTAAAATGTTTTGGTAAAATTTAGGTACTGGGTATACGAGTGTTCACTGTGAAGTCCTCTTAACATTGCAATATGTTTAATGTGTTTCACAATAAAACTGTTGGGAAACGAGGCCGGGCACAGTGGCTCATGCCTATAATCCCAGCACTTGTGGGAGGCCAAGGCGGGTGGATCACAAGGTCAGGAGATCGAGACCATCCTGCCTAACATGGTGAAACCCTGTCTCTACTAAAAATTAGCTGGGTGAGGTGGTGCACACCTGTAGTCCCAGCTACTCGGGAGGCTGAGGCAGGAGAATGGCGTGAACCCAGGAGGCAGAGGTTGCAGTGAGCCGAGACTGTGCCACAAACAAGAAATCTCAGACACGCCGGGTGCGGTGGCTCACGCCTGTAATCCCAGCACTTTGGGAGGCCGAGGCAGGTGGATCACAAGGTCAGGAGATCAAGACCACCGTGAAACCCCGTCTCTACTAAAAATACAAAAAAAAAAATTAGCCGGGCGCGGTTGTGGGCGCCTGTAGTCCCAGCTGCTCGGGAGGCTGAGGCAGGAGAATGGCGTGAACCCGAGAGGCGGAGCTTGCAGTGAGCTGAGATCGTGCCACTGCACTCCAGCCTGGGCGACAGAGCGAGATTCCGTCTCAAAAAAAAAAAAAGAAATCTCAGACACAAGTTTAAAGCCTCAGAAAAAGCAACCAGACTTCCATTAGAAGACTTAGTGCAATACCATTAGGACATCTCCACTATAAATACATTTCTAAAAAGCTCTTGGGGCAACTACTTGAGTGGGCCTGGAGGTAGGGTCCCAGAATTTCCCTGTTTCCAATTCTGCTGCAGATGCCTGGGGCTTCCATACAGGTGCAGCGATAACATAGGCTAGAAGAAAGGCAAGAGCTGGACTTGACATTGAGCTCACATCACACTTGCCAAATGAAACCATAACATGAAGATGTGGGTTAGACAGCAAAGAAACGGGGAAATACCAGGGCCCTGAAAGCTGTAGAAATATCCTTAAGATCTAAAAGGAGCTGCCATGCTTTTCTCAACAGCTGATGGCTTGGGCCACTTTGCTTGATGGTAGAGAAAACCGCAGGCCCTGTGCCCATTGTTGCTCCATACCTGAGGCTTACAGTGCTCCTCAATCCAGCTGAAGACACAGGCTGACAGCTCCTGGAAGCTGGCCACCGAGATGGAGGCATTGAAGGACTGGAACAGGGAATCCATGATGCCTTGAAACACGTTGAACTTGACCTGGTCAGAGACCTGGTCCTCCCCTTCATGGGGGTTGTCCTGGTGTGCCTTCACAATCTGCTCATAGTTCCTAAAAGCATGCAGGCCAGGGCTGAGGTGCTGCAGCAGCTCCGCCCACCCAAGAAAAATGATGGGACTACCCTGTGTGCTCCCAGGAATGGCATCCCCAGAGAGCTTCTGGGTGGGGTGCAGTATCAGGGAAATACTGCTTCCAGGCCAGGAAATGGCCCTCTCTCTCCAACCTTCCTTACATTAATCCAACAGACATTTCCTGAGTGTCTGCCATGTGTAAGGACAGTTGGGGATACACAGTCCTGCTTCTACTGGCTAGCTCAGGAACTGAGAGTATTACCTGTACTGTAGTAACTGATGTAGCCTTTGAACAAGGGAGGGTGTGCAATGAAGTTCCCTCAGAAGCTCTGGTTCCCCCCATTCAGCACCCCTCTTACACTTTCATGATCTTTAGGGCCGTGACATCCTTGCGTAACGTGGACACCTCCTCCTCCTGCTTTTTCTTCTCCTTGTGCAAAAACTGAATGTAGTCAATGGCTAGGGTAGGGGCAGGAAAAGAGGGTAGGTACAGAAGTATTCTCAAACAGGAAGATAAGGCTGACTTTGTTCCCCTTCCCCTAGACCCCAACTATCCCATGGCAATCACCACACCAAGGCCGAGCCATGGGTGGGTAGGAGGCGCTGGCTTCTTCACAGCCCCTCTTGACTCCAGCCCCTCCAGTGCTTTCCCTAGCCATACTCTTTTGTAGAACGATGGCTTTGCTGAGCTTTTGGGAGCCAATGGAGAAGTCCTGCTGCTGGCAAGTGGGGACGATGGTCTGAAGGTCATCATAGCCTCTCTGTGGAGACAGCAGGGGAAATGGGGTTTTTAACCCTGAGAGATTAAAGCAAACTGGCACAAAGTTCTTTCGTGATACCAAGTTCTATGCTCACAAACACAACGGGTTGGGAAGGCTGCAATGGAAGTGTTCGTGCCTGGGACTACACTATCTGCCCACCCCTAGGGTGCCTGGGACTGTCTGAGAGGGTCAGGGCACAGGGAAGCTGAACTATGCAGGGCCCTCCTACACTGGCTGAGGCACAGGCCTCCCTGGTCACCTTGATGGCGTCCCTCCTCTTCTGCTCAGCCTGAGTGTGTGCTCGCCGCCGCCGGTCTTTGTAGGACTCCTTGTAGGCCTCCTGGTGGTAATCACTGTCCTCGTCATCTACGCTCAGAGATGGGGGCAGGGAGAGGTCATCTTGGGGCCCAGTGGGGTCCAGCTAGCCCACCTTTCCCCATCTGGGAAGAACCTGGTGTCCAGAGAAGGCAGATGGACAGAGAACCTAATGTTCCAGATGAGGTGAAAGATGGTGAGACCCTGTGTCTGATACTTGGGCTCCAGCACCCCTGTGTGGATGGCTGGGGCTTCCCTGTCTAGGAAAGGTACTACAATTATGACGTGTCTGAGCCCCTCGAGGTGGGGGGGATGTAACTGCCTACCTGTGTTGGGGACAGAAGAGGCACTGGTGGAACCGATGCTATTAGCTCTGGACACTACATTCCCCTTGCGGGTGCTTTCTACAAAAAGCCCTGGAAAAGAGAGGCCCCAATCACTAAGGGGCAGGGTGGGGAACACTGCCAGACCCTCAGACACCTGTAGGACACAATGGCTTTCTTAAATGCTGACCTCTTCCCTTCAACCCAAAGCCAACTATACTGGGCCCCCCACTTCCAGCCAGACTACGCTGCAGCGCTCTGCTCCCTAGTGTCTACACTGCTCCATAGGCCTGCATGATACCCCCTGGCTCACAAACGGGCATCTGGACGTGACAGAGTGTGAGTGATCAGCTGCCATTAGTTCCACCACTTCCCTGTTCCAGAACAGAGGGAACTAGGTGTCACCCTCAGTTGTTTTCTGCCCTCGTCCTTCAGCTCCTGCTGTCTCAAGCCAGGAACTCTGCTCAGGGACAGTGGACTGTGCTCAGGCGTGGTTGGCAACACCACAAGAATTCTAGAGAGCCTGGGCGGGAGTGTACCTCTAGAGCTTAAGATGGGGGAGCTACTCACCGGGGTCCAGGCTGTTGTCGCTGTAGGCATACTCCACCTGCGGCACAGAGCACGGGAGGGGCCCGTCAGACCTCCGCCCCTGGTGGGGGCGACACTTTCACTGCAGGCACACACAGCGCGCCCCGCATTCCGGGAAGGCACCTCTGTCACCCTGCGCGCTCGCGCACACACAGCCCGGGGTGCGCGGGCACCTTAATGATTCCCCCGAGACTTGGCACGGGCTAGGCCGTGCGAGCGCCTCCCCCGTGTATGATCTCTTCCGCCCCTACTCCACCCCAGTCCCCTGTTCCCCCGACTCGCGCGCACACGCCTCGTTTGTCTCCCCACCTTGGCACACGCGGGGTGAGAGCTGTCTTCTCTGCAGCCCCGGGGCCCGGAGAGCATGGGGGACTTTGGGGACAGGAGGGAAGCCCCTCGTCTTCCGGCCCCCCTACGTGCACGAGCCCGACCCGCCCTCCCCTCGCTGGCGTGCGCGCCCACGGGGCTTGCCTTGACCCAAGGGTCCTCGGGAGAGGCGCCCGGCTCAGTCATCTTGGACCCACCGGACCGGAAACGAGCCGGCGGGCGGGCCCCCTGCGGCGAGGAAACGGGTGGTGTGCCCACGTGACCCACGCCCGCCAATCCGCGACCGAGAGGTTGGGCAGGGCGAGAGCATCGCGCATGCGCGGCCCAAAGACGTCTCCCGTACTCCAGCTGTCAAAGCCCGGCGCTCGGCCTGGCGCCAGCCGCCTTTGGGACTGCTTCCCGTCGTGCCTGCCCTCTCTGGGTTAGGCATTGGAATGGCGGCGACATGAAGCGCGTTTTGTAAGACGGAGTACCTGCAATTGGCTTGTCAGCATACCGCCGCAGGTAGTGTGTGCATGCGCACTGTCCGGCCGGCTGGCTCCACACGTTACCCTGCGGGCGGTCTCCCCGCGCTCCCCGGACCTGCACTGCAGCGGGTGTGTCAGGAGCCGGGCAGAGAAGCTCCGCAGCCACACTGTCCGACCCCACCAGGCTGCAAGCTCTGTGAGGGCAGAGGCCCCGCCTGGCGCGTGGAAGGCTGATCTTCCAACACCCAGCCCAGTGTCTGGCAGGATGCATGTGGAATGAATCCTTGCAAAGAACCCGCTAGCTAGGTTATGCGGCCTCTCAGATTAAAAAAACAAAAACAAAAAAACACGGCAGTACCTAGAAAGTCTACACCTTACTCAGAAGCACACAGCTGGTCAGTGGGACGGCCAAGGCTCGCCTAAAGGCCATCCGGCCATCCTCTTAACCACTGCATTGCCCAGGCTTCCAGCTCAGGCCTGGGCCCTGCACTTGTGGCTTAAGGATCTCAAAGAGACTTAGAGGCATTGGAGCAGGAAGCAGACACCATCCAGGCAATACCTGGGAACATTCACCTTTAATTCTGTTACAGGTTCCAGTATTTGCGCTGGCCCTAGTCAGCTGTGGGTAAGAGTCACCCATGGGCAAGAGTGGGGAGGGGCCTGCTCATCCATGAACCACATCCTCAGTGTTGGCCAAATACCAGTGTTGGGTAGGCTTCCTGAGTCCACCAGGCCTGGCCATGTCCTACACAGCATAGCTTAGACCTCTGGGCCTGAACCAGGATACGCATCAAGGCCCCCATTTCTCCTCACCACGGGGTCGCTTGTCAGCTCCAGGGGCCAGTCTGGCCCCACTGAGAACTTCTCAGTCAAGGGCCTGGTGAGTCTTGGGAATGCGCTTCTGCAGGAGGGCCCAGGCTTTCTCCACCTTCAGACAGGCCGGAATGTTGGGAGGAAGAGAGGGCAGGGTCAGGCAGCATCCACTGGAGACTCC